ATATAAGGTTTTAGTGGAAGGACTCAAGTAATTAACTGAAAGTGGTTGTTTCTCAAGGCTTTCTGTAGCCTTCATTGATGGAGAAACTTTTATCTGTTGGTTTCGTCTTTGTTCCCTGAGAGGCAGGGAGAATGCTCTTTACTGAAGTATGTTAACGAATGGTTTAGGATCTACATGTGCCAGGCTCTACTTTCTTGAGCATCTATAGGCCTATTTTCTGAGCTGATTTTTATTCACCTGACAAGTGTTTAATGCTATTTGTCAACTATATTTCATCTACAACATCTGTTTGCAGCTATTAATGCTGAAGTTTTACTTATTCTGTTGCCATGTTTTCTTTTGAATTTCCTTAGAATTCTTTCACATCGCTATAAAGTACTCACTTACACATGAGCTTGAGTTCCATTCACTGTAGACATGAAGCGAAGGACCCTGTCTATAGCGACCAGGTGGGCCCTGGGACTGAGTAAAGGGCAGTAAATAGGAAAACAGATTTTAACACAACAATTTGTGATAGTCACAGTAACCATCTTGAGCTCACCCAACACCAAGTCATCACAAGCATTAGCTATCAGGAAGAACAAAGCCCACAGAAACTGAACTGTAGCACTCTTTGTCCTTTATCTAATTTGGCTTGGTAGCTATTGATAGCAAAAAATGCCCTCTATGTAAAAATTGCCTAATAAAAATAGCTTTAGAAAGTTTGTTCATCTGCTGATTCCTTATTTGATAAATTCACTCAGTTTTTACTGAGTGTCTCACGTACTTTGGGCATGTTATCAGGAGGGACCAGTTTTTGAAGAAGGACATTGTGACCCTCAGTGAGATGGATTGACACAGTGGCTACAACAGTGAGCTCAAACAGAACAGTTGTAAGGTACAGGATGGTTCTGTTCTAATTAGGGTCACTATGAGCGGGGACCGACTGGACAGCATCTAACAACAACAATATGCACTTGGCACTGTATCCTGCTGCGGAGGGAGTGGTAACCAAGACAGGTTGTTACTGCCCCCACGGAGGTTATGTTGTGTGTGAAATACAGACATTAAACAAACACACAATCACAATTGTGTACAAGTACATTGAAGGAAAAGACCTACGTGCTAAGAATCCTTTAAAAACAGCCATCAAGTTGAGTCTCACTTAGTGACTCCATGTGTGTCAGAGTAGAACTGTGTTCCATAAGGTTTTCAGTGGCTGGTTGTTTAGAAATAAATAGCCAGATCTTTCGTCTGAGGAGTTTCTGGGTGGACTTGAACCTCCAACCTTTTGGTTAGCAGCTGCACACATGGAACTAGTCTAAGTAGTCAGCTGAGATTTTCTGAGGAAGTGGTCTCCCAGCTGTTAACTTGAGATGAGCAGGAGTTAGCTAGGTAAAGAGGAAGGGGAAACAGCTTTCAAGAAAGAGGGTATTGCATGTTCCAGGGGTCAAAGCCTGGAAGCCCTCTGGCGCCTGACAGGATGTACGGTGACTGAAGCATGGTGAACTGGAACAAGTGGTATTGTTGCATGGAGCTTCTTGCAAGGCCTAATGAGAAATCTGATAGGCTTTTATAGACCAGGTTAAGTAATAATTAACCATGTATGTCTTTTGAGCCTTTTTTTTTTTCTGGATTTTCATCTTTTCAATTCTCATATTTCTGTTGTTTTATCTTTGGGCTTCAGCTTCCTTCTCAAAGTGCTATTTGAGAGCTAACATGAGGACCTAGATCCTAGATCCAAGTTTAAAACAGAGTTTAAAGACTGCTGTGAAACATTCATTAAGAAAACACATTGGATAATTTATTAGCAGTAAACAATCACAAACCTTAACATGTTCAGGCATAGATAGCATCAACAGCCCAGTGAATTGGCCTAATAGTGAGCGTATTCTTTTGTTCTTTCTACCTCCTAGTTCATTATGTAGTGTAGCCACCCAAGGCTCGGCAGTAGGTTTCTATATGCCTGGAGCAACAGAGGAGGAGAGAAAGAGTAATCTGATACAATTTGATGAACTTGACCTACACCTATGGATGCAGTAGCTCAAAAGAGGGAACAAATCTTTACAGCGAGGATCAT